ATCGAGGGCGGCGGTGCAATCATCAAGTCTGAAAGAAAACAAACACGAGATTGCTGGCTCGATCTCACTGCGGCTGCTTTTCGTTGTACGGTCTCGGCGCCCCTGCATCGTCAGTCGCAGTGATACAGCTTCATATACAACAAAGAAGCAAAACAAAGATTTGCCTAGGGAGATCACTATGTGATGGCATACTTGGACTAAGCGGCAGGTCACGGTTACGTTGAGGGGTGGAAGTAAAATGGGAGAAAAGCAGGAAAAGGGAAAAGTAAAACGAGCTCACCTGTCGTCATAAAGGCCGCGATAAAGTCGGCGCCGCAAGACCAGAGAATGAAAGACGAGTACCGCGCACCCGAAACGGTTCGCTAAAGGGAAGCTAACAACGCGCTTAGTCTCGAAGCGGGGTTTTAGAGTCTTGACGGGGCCAAAGGGTGGAGGGCGCCTCCATTCGATACGATGACTTCCTGGCAACAAGATAGGAGTGAGGGCGTGCGAAGCAAGAGAGACAGAGAAAAAGCTGAAGGAAAAGGCAGGACTAGAAAGAAAGACGAGTAGATTTACTTGGAAGACGTGTGTGGCGTGATGCATGAGTGGATGTGTCTGCTTGGCCGTGTGGGTTGGCTGAGAAGTAAATAATCCTTGAACTCCCTTTGCCTCTCGTTTAGCACATGGGCTTATGGGTTCTCCCTTAGTTCGCCCCGTTATAAAGGCGATCCTGCAACTAGAATGATAAAATCGCAGCGGTATGTTGCTAGCGTAGACGAACGGAGGTGTTGGACCAAACCGATGGAGGGGTAAATGAAGAAAAAGGTTGCCGATAGTAGCGGCTCTTTCAGGTGGAAGGGTCGCGGCGTCGGCGGTGGTAGCATCAAAGCGACAGCTCTGTCGGTTTGCCTGTAGACCCGGTGTACGGACGGTCGCCTCAGTTGGTTGTTGGGTGGGTGCTGGTCGGATAATTTGACTTACAAATAAGCACCGTCTCTGAGCCGAAAATGGGCCCTGCTGTTACCCCCGAGAGGAACTTCACTCTCATGTCGTATAGAAGTACCGTGTTTGCCGTATGGCAAGCCAACGATGCCCCCTGTGAGAGCGCCTTGGAAAGGTCTTCTGTGCAATGTCGTCCGACTTGACAATAGAGCTGGAGAAAGCGAGGGTGGCTAACAGGCACAGCCAGCTACAGAGGGTGAAACCAGGAGAACGTCCCTCGTGCCTTTCGAGGATGCTACGGAAACATCTTTGTTGCCTTAGCCGCTACCTAGGTCTTCACCTTCCACGATGATGTTGAACACACAATTTGCTGCATTCACCAGGCGAACGTTTACCAACCGTAGTCGAAAATATTTTCCGCAGCAAAATGTGTATAGCCCGCGCGGAAATACACAGACGGGTTTTCGAGCCCTCGAAATGCGTCTCAGTCAGCTTTTCTCAAAAGGCAAACTTGACATGGCCAACACTTAACAGGGTTCATTAATAACCGTGCAATTAGAACAGTCTGTTCGCTGGCGGCAGCCACTATTAGAATCGCGGATGCCGTAAAGCGTTATCGAAATAAGCTTTGAACCATTTCAGTAAAGGAAGCGGGCAAATATCATATTGAATCATCCTTGACATTAGTCGGCATAGCAAAGTTGAGCCCGTTATACTTTGCAATAACTTGCGCGTAATTTTTCTACACTGGTAAAGGAGCTCCAAAAGCAGTATCGCGTTGTATAATTAGTAACACGTCTAACAATAACTGCATAACAACATTACGCTGTTTCTAAATTATAGAAATCAGCATACGGCTTTGTTAACATGACCTGTTCAGTGCCCGCCATTACTATAATACTAAGCGGAATATTAACTCCGTGGTCACCTCTGCCTCCCACATTTATTTGCGTTTTTCATTTATTTAAACGTCAAGAGTGATAGTCCATTCATCAGGATGTCCTACATTCAGACATTTTAGCCTTTTGCGAACACGCTAAATTTCAGGCTTCCAAATACACTAATAACATTCCGGTTTAGCTCGTTGTGTAGTAAGCAGGTCGTTGTTTATGTATGTTGACGTTGAAGACTGCAGTTTAACTGTAGATCTATGAAACACTGTGACTTCAGCTGTTCGAAGAACTATAGACAACATCTTTGGATACATCGTCGGAATTTGTCATTTTCGGATATCTGTTGTTATATTCGCTCGAACACTGAAAGGCAGTTTCACTGGTTACTTCCATTTTGGATTGGATGCATTTTCAATGGGACGTACTGAGATCAGCCTGAAGCTGCAATCGCTGATGCAGGCATAATTGATCGGGCTTTTTACAAGCAAAATTTTATGTTTTTACATTGAACATAGTGCGATTAAAATGGGTGCAGAAATATTAGCAAACAAAGTTAAGAAAGGCTTGCATACTTTTCTCATACATCGCACTTGACAAAACAAAGGCTAGACATCTTCGTGACGAGAGAACGGTTTTAGCTTTCGGTAGTTCTACCAAAATAACATACGTAATACCTTGTCGAGGTCCCCTGAGAAGATTTGGCCAGCGTACCTTTAACTCGACAAGGTTCCTACTGAATTGTACGACAATTTAGGTGGATGGGTGGGCTACAGCAAGCCACCGTAATATAGAACAAGAAGCGATCGATATGCGTTTTGAGATAAAGGAGAGCATAGCAAAAAGCGCCTAAGCTACAATACTAAAACCGTAACTAACTTCCCACAAAAACGCAGGCAATCAGCAACGTCCTAATCAGTTCTTTCAGCTTGTTTTTATCTTTGTTTGCGTCTCCTTGTTATTTCCAGTTTCTGCTTACATTGATGATGAAGCTGCTCCTAACGAAATCTCTGATCAGCACCAGCACACCTGTGATAGTCCATGCGCCTGTCCCAAAGACCGCGTCATCACTTGCAGTAACTCGAATTTTGATATTAAGTTTTAGAGAGAAGAGGAAGCGTGTAGGTCGTATTTGTAAAAAGTGATCTCTTTGGATGACAAATTTGTTCTGTTAGCCAGAGGCGTTCTGCGTGTATTCAATGCAATAACAGTAGGAGGTGAATTCCGGCAGGCGACTACAAATATGGATGTCAAAGCCATAGTGTACGTAAGACTTATCGATGTCATGCGTTCTCATGGAAATCAATCTAACGTCAAGGATCTCTGTGATCAGATCAATGACCTTGTCTCTGGACTCAGGAACAGGGCTATTTAGTCGAGTATCTGTTTTATCGTAAGCTCTCAAAACCGCTTCTTACGGAACCATGTCAACATAGTAACGCTTAGAAAGATTTGTTTGTTAGGTAGTGAGTTTTTATGCGGGACCGTTCGTGGAAGTGGGAAGAAGTACAACAGCATTTATCTCAATAACCATAAACAAAATAGCTGTTGTAATTGAACGCTGAGCTAATAAATTCCTCTGTCACCCAGTTTCGTTTATCAGTAACTTGCTTTCATACTTTTCATGTCTAAAAAAATGTTCGCCGGTTTCATCTCAGTTGTCTATTAGAAGTCTACGCTACAAGCCATCGATGTCACCCGCACTTAAGACGCTCACTTAACCACCAGATAACGTTTGCCATAACCGTGCCGTTTGGTCCCCGAATCTGACATCAGCGTCCATTTTTCGCGAGCCACTGCAGTGATCCGGCATCTTCAAGTAATTTCAGTGAACAACTATGGATATAAACATGCGATCGGTCGCCCGTTAAGATAATTTGTAATCTTCCACAGTTGTTGGCTTAAATGTTACTAGCTCTTGCCTAATATTGGTATTTTTTTAATGTTTACTCGATAATCCACAATCATTTACAAGTCCCGCGGAACGTGTATTGCCTGGTTGTGTTACACCTTTCCCACGATCAAGTAGAACCCGTATTTATATGTGGAGGTACCCACTTTCCTATCATTGACTGGTAATCGACAACAGTCAGCGGCAACTCTTCTAGAGAAGCCATGTCTACTAATTCGTGCATAGCTAATAATTTCTTTTTTATTGCTCAGAACACACCTCGGCCAGTCAGGGTTGATTCTGAAAGTCTGAACAGTAGAGGCGTGACAATCCTTGCCCCTGGGTTAGTTTCAGTCTCCTGAGAATCTATTCGTAATTGATATATCTACTCCCTCGGACCACTATTACCGTTTACTTTGAAATAATTGCCGGTCTAATTAAGTCTTGTAATAGGCAAATAAGACTTAAAATTCTATAAATATGCTTACCAATGGATAAACGCTAATGGGCCTCTAGTTAATTGAAGTTGTATCTTTGCCTTTTATACTATGATATCAGTGGTTCGACCATGTTATGGGTTACTTGCAGTAGCTGATCTTACTTTTTGCAATTACTTGTATAAACAGGATTCAACAGGACACTGATATTTTAAAGAAGATGGTTGACTGTGGTCCTCTACCTCATATTAAGTCCAAATCGCGTAAAGCTTCTTATCGATTTCGCATTTTCGTGGAATCGTCGTTTTATGTTTACAACTTGAAAGAGTTCCTTCGCTGCGCGAATTAAGGAATAAAAGGGCTAACGATAGTGGCAGCTCTGAAGTGAGATGGCAGTTCTCTAATCTCTGTGATGACTTAGTTAACCCTCAAGTACCTAGAGATTTTTCTGGGTTTGCTTTTGTTTCCCATGGAGCCCCTAAGAGCGAGAGCATTTCATTCGCGAAAAACTCTAGAATGCCCATCACTAGCTATTATGTTCTCACTGTGCTTATCAACCGCAAGCTTAAGAAAATCCTAGCCAATAATTGTTCCACCCCTAATGGAGTCCCCCCGTTTTTTAAATGCTCTTTTGCCGAGCTTCTCTGCATGGTACTCATTTGGTCCTACAAGAAATAAAATTTGATCTCTTTTGAGTTTCACGAGTTGTGCCAGTTTACGCGAAAGCTTGTAAATCTTCACACCATGGATAATTACCGCCCATCAAGAATTCATGCACCTCGAACCTATCTTCAGGTCCTTGTTCCGGCCCCCTTCTATTTGGTATATTTTATTTTTGACGTAAAGGACGTTCTTTCAGGCGAGGTGCGGCATAAGCTTTATATCAATTACTTGAAGCTACACAGACCCTCTGTAAGTGATGACGATCGGCCATTGCATCAGCGGATTGCGAGTGCTACGTACGAGTATGAGATGTAACGCCAATTACATGATCATCCGAAGGTACTATATACGACTTCATGCTTTCACAAACAGATGCGCATCTACACTTTAAGTGATGCAACTACTTCTGTAGTGATTTCGGTAGAATATCTGAAAGTTAGAGTAGAGAGTTCAGGAGGTTGACTTCGAATCCTCACTTTTTGCACTGATATTTACAAAAGTGTGTTTGTCTTCAAATATTTGTATTATTTTATCTTTATATTCACACACAACAGAGTGCAAGAGCTTACTTTGATAATGCTGTTCTGTAGTATATTGGCTCGATTTCCGTTTTCGTGAAAAGTACCACGTTTCTGTTAATATCAAGATGGAAAGATCAATTGTCTAGATGACATGGTACTTACTCTTGGACTGCTTTTCGATCGCATAGCGTGCCCTGTCTTCAAAAAAAAAAAACGATTTAGACTGTTACTTAGTTTCTAAACACCCTGTGACGAAGGTTTCAAGCCAATTTTGATTTACTTAGCTTTGTCAAGTCGAGCGCATCAGTCAGAATCAATTGGGTCCGCGGCAGACATGCCATAGGATGAATAGTCTTATTTATCTTCATGTAACAGCTGTTCTGTCCTGGTGGTCGTAGGCTTGTGCATCCCGTAGCAGAGGCATCAGTATTGGCAAAGGCTCAGATGGTTGTTATCATTTACTTAGAATGTCTTAAACCGTGGAGTCACACGTTCCTTCAGTTATTGGTTAAAGGAGCATATATTAGTATTTCGTATGCTTGACATACGTAGATTTTTTGTAATTGAATATATGTCTAGATATGTGTGAGATATAATTACTACAAATCAGCTTAGCGTTCATTGATTAGATACTGGTGCTATGATAAAAACTAGCAGTGGCCCTATGGCGTATCAACGAAAATTCTTGAATGGCGATTTTATTTTGTATCGCTAGACCCCTGCATTATACTGAATAAAATCGTTATAAAAATAGGTAGTAACTCTTATGAAATAACGTACGTTTTTATAGATATGTGTTTTTTAACATCTATGTTTAGGGATTAAGCTGACAGTCGGCTTCGATAAACCCTTCTAGCCGCCTCAACATCATTGGCAATATCGCTAGTTGTTTTTAGTTTATGTTACAAAACACGAAGTTATCGCTTACTCTATAACGGACGGAAAACTGCCCGAGCACTATCCAAGAACAGCTTTTCGAAACATTTGAATTTAGAGACCAACGGTCTGTTTAGCTAATTATTGATAATAATCACAAACTTTTCCAATCATCTGTCATGCGAAGTGGAATTGGGAAGTGGCAGCTGCAAAACAAGTCAATGCCATTCTTCAGTGACCTACAGTGTCACTGTTTCTGACCTCCAGAAGCGCAAATGTGTACGTATGGTAGCAGCAATGGCGAGCTTATGCCGATAATGTGCCTCCCTGATCCCCAAAGAAGAAGGGGGGAGGGAGATTAAGGCAAACTGGATGAACGAAAGGCAACGTTATTCTAAGTCTAAAGGAAATATTACGCACACTGCAAATCTCGCAGCCGTAGAGAATAGCGCCTGTTTGGCCAGCGGTGCTGCCCCATTCCCGGCTTCTTCCATGAGGGGAGCTTCAGTTCACCGACTCTAGGCAGGCGACGAAGGCCAGGTGTGAAGCCTTACGTTGAACCCGACGAACAACGGGCCTCGAGCAGTTGAAACGGGATTCTCAAAAAGCCACGTCCAAAATTAATGCGATTTATGATTTAACAGCAACAGTGATCGTGGTGTCCGAGGCTTGGCCTCGCTTTCTTTCCCTCTTTCTACCTGTTTCGCCTCCTTCCACCAGCCTTCTCTCTGCGGAAGTAAAAACCCAAGAAAATAATGGGCCGTAGTAGTGTTTTTCAAAGGAATTACTCTCCGCCAGATACCCTGACTCTGCTTAGATAGCCTTCGCGCGTTAGTTTCCAAGCTACGCTACTGCCATTATTACATCTGGTGCTCATTGGCTTTCTTGCGCAATCTCGGAATCGTTCGATCCGTTGTTCTGTCGCTTCAACGACTTCCTTGTGGCGAAACCAGGAAGAAGTTAGCAATATCAGTCCCAACTGAAATATTTAAATTTACTGTTCTCTTCGAGAAGGAACATGTTTCTAGGCTTGTGGTGCTAATATAGCAGACTAGTGGATACAATGAAGACTCACTGCATAGAAACTCCTAAATGTGTGATAAATAATAGTGCGCATCGCATAGTAAAATTAGATATTCACTTCACGTTCAGGAGCTATTTGCTAAATATTGCGGTGTCGTAAACTTAGGCGGACGATGGGCCTTGGGGCGGACGATGGGGCAAGTTAAAGTGAGCCTGTTCTTAAGCCGCCTTAAAAGAAAATTATCTTATTCAACGTAATAACAATAAGCGTGCACTTTCATTATAGATAGATAGTGTATACTAAGGAGCAGTTCAACGGGGGCACTATGGCTCCAGGATCCCACAACGCTAAATTCGTGGTGCGGTTCGACACGATCTATTTTCACGAAACTGTTAAATAAGCTGAAAGTGAACTGAAGTTCGATAAAAAATAGGTATAGGTAAGAGTTTTTCACTAGCGAATGCGTTGTATTTCCATGTGCCCCGCCTTAACATACATCGAGGTTAGCCAGCTACTTCCACAGATCAAGCCACATTGTATGACGCTTTAGTCGGCCGAAATCCAGTTGGGCCTATGCTGACCTTAGTCAGCTCTAAGACCGGCTTGGCCGATCGAACTCTAGTTGTAAGAAGCACATAGAGTTACAGAATCTATACATTTATACTATAAAAAGCATAGCCATTCTAAAACGAACGTTTAATTTGCGATTTGTGTCCATGGCATTGAGTTAGCGCGGTGTCGAACTATGGTATATCCTATTGTTCTACACGTGTCTATATAAAACGTTTTTATTAGTAGCAGGTTAATTAAGAACACTTCGAGACAGACCATTTCAAAGTTAGGAATATAGAAGCCAACGTTAAAGTTCAGAAAAGTGACAAGATGTATATACTATGTGACGTAGCTGCTCTGTAGTGTACGAGGTTCCGAGGAGTGTGCCTCTGCTGCTGATAGTCCTTTGGCCCGAGCCGCCGATTTCTATGAACTAGAACTAAAAAAGACCAAGTGCGATATGAAGCTGATATGACCGATTGACAGTGCAAAGCATCTCTTGCGTCACAGATACAGGCACGATCCAACGCTAGCCAAAGCACCGGCGTAAGCACGTCACACTTGGGCTGGGCTGGGCCGGCTACTGCATAAAAGGCTGGTGTCATCGCTGGTGCACAGGTGGTACATAGCGAGGGACCACTAGAGAAAATGCTTACTCAAAATCAACAATTACATTACACCGATAATGTAGGGTAAGAACTCTGATGAACAGCTAGCGTACGTATGACACAGTCTTCTTAAATACCTAATTTAATTTACCCAAGTCCACGATTGTACGTTTTGCTTCTTTCATAAATAAGCGCTTTGCAATCTGAAATTACCATTTCAGAATCATACTCTGAATTAGGCGATTAATGATAATAAGAAAAATGTTCTTATTTTTAAATTTGGAACAACATAACAATTGTGAGCATACGATGCTAATATCGTTAGTGTCATAGATTCGATCTGTGCGGAGGAAGAGTAGTGAAATGATCGAGTAAAAGTACGTAACAACACAAGAAAATCGGCAATGGCTGGATGGCTAAACGGGCACGGATGAAAATTTATGTATTCGATGGACCCGTTTAGATGGACAGGTTAGAAGATTGCCATAGAGCTGGTCAAGCTTCTTCAATTTGTTCGATGTGGCTATTATATATGCGGGATTGAACAGCGAGCAGAAGTTTGAATCCGATGCTGATGATCACAGATCTATTTCACAAGAGTGCATTGCATGTGGAATCATCGACATGGCAGAGTATTAGTTTTTCTCTAAATGAGCCATCAACTCATAACCAAAGTGTTAAGCAGAAGGGTATCTCTACATTGTTAGTACAAGTGACGCAGAACGGGCGTTGTAATATCTATTTTGCCTAAGGCTCACATGGTTACTGATGAAGCATGGCAGGCTTTTAATCTGAATAAGATAGGTACATGGTTAATTGAGTGAACTAAAATTCAGGCCAAAAGAGAACTCATAATTGGCGGGGGTGGTATACCCTCCGCTGCCAAGGTAGTGCTGGAGCTCGAAGTGAATGGCATACTACTTGTATCCTTCGCGCATGTTTGCTCTCTTGTGAGCTCGGAATTCTGTTGAGACTGTAACTGTTTGAAAATACTATGAGAATCCTTTAAGTATCATATCTATTCAAAGGCGAGCACTACTACGACTGTTTCTCTTTACGCTCGTCTTCGTCTGTATCACCAATCGGCCTATCAACAATGAGATGAACGGCTGTGCTGCACTCCTACAAGGACACTTGTCTTGGCGCAGTTGACAGCCCGTTTCAGACTGCGAAGGGACTTGACAACGGTGTGCGGGTAAATTGGAGTTATCGCCCTCTCCGGAAAGTTAGGTAGTTACAGGAAAGGTACACTTCTGATTAGCTCGAGCGCACACGTATATCAAAACGGTGACCGTAAACGTATTGTGTAGGTTAGAGCAATGGGTCATAAGAGGCATTCATTCAACATTATAATTCATGATATGCCTAAGGTTAGAAATAATGTTCGCAGGTACGGTAAGTTTTGCGTAAACAAAGTACCACTTGCGGCAAGCTTGTCACAACCAAATATATATATATATATATAGCAGGTCGTAATTTATATCTAGCTAAAGCATGCCACTTTGTTTATTGGCAGATGTATATACTCTGACTAGTTTAATTGAACTGACTTCACATGTACATATATATGCAGTGTTGAGCAAAAACAGGGTACATCTATAAAAACCAAACTCAGAATTCAAACAGATATAGTCTGAAGTTGAGATGAGCCGAGAGTCTTAGCGTTTCTTGAAATTTTTTATATTATTTTTTAAAATTTCTTTCTCGAAAGTTTTTGAAATAACAGGCGATACGCAACTTATTAGAATATAGGGCGAAAATAACAACAGAAACATTCTAATACAATGTCCATAATTGAGCGGTCAAGCAGTACGTCGAAATTTCTTCATGATGCCTCTTGACTGTGTCACATGCGGATTTATACAGATTTAATATTAGCACGTCTGCAGAATAAACTCAATAGATTAACTTGGTGGCCCTCTCATTCTGGACACACCTTGTCCTCGAAGGCCTTGTACGTAACGTATTGGACCGAGTAGTCCGCTATTTAACGGAGTTTGGAAGACAGATGTGCTAGGCTAAATACGAACACATCGTTTGTATCCACAGGCTATTGTATCAATGATCTCAGAGCTTGGAAGGCCCAGTAGCGTCTCATAGCGAAACTATCAAATGCTACTCTAGGACTGTTACACGAAGTTTACGCCTATTGCTTTGAATGTAAACATCAAGAATCTCAGAGAAAGATGAAAGAACACCAGGTTATAGTTTGGGCTTCCTTTTCTGGTACTGGATTCAAAATCCAATAGTTGCCGCCATCCTGGCACTTCTTGTTTAAAAAGTCGATCCTAGTATCGTTGCAATCAATAGTGATGTAACATACATGGTACCAATTAAACATTTCGGGCTAATTTTCTGATGTAACCGCTCAGTCGCATGGTGTAAGTCTTGACCGGAAATTGATCATAAAATAATACTGGAATATGCAAAATGCCGAGTAAGTCCTCAAAAGTGAATTTAGGACAAGATGGAATATTAGTAAGTCAATACTTTATTCAAAAACTCCAAAACATCTAAGTGTAAAGCGTTTCTTAAATCAGATATTTTTCAGGGATATATATATGCATATAGAACTTTACATGTAAATGATCCCTACATACATATATATATGTATGTAAGGTTGCAAGAACGTATGAAAATGAAAGGTAACTGAAGTTTGCATTACGTTATTGTAATTTATGCAACGTTATGAATAAACACAGCATTCGATGTCGTGCTTAGGGAATTTTAGGCATATACTAATGCTGTAGGCCTCATAAAATAATACGACAGCAATTATAAGTACGAGATCAGGAAGACCATTAGCCTTTGTCCCGCGCCTGTTCTGCCGTACAGAAAAAATAGTAAGTCTTTTTTTTAAATCCACTACTGCGTCTCTTTTGTAAATTTTAAAAAACAAACAAATTCCCAGCATAAAATCCTCAATGGCCGTCGAGTAGATCAGAAGAGACGACCAATGGACCCCAATAAACATCGCGCTCTGTGGAAAAAAGCAACTATTCTCTGGAGAAAGTATTGATACATCTTATACGCAACCCCTTATGGGGTCTCGAGCAACTCACAAAGAACCGGCCCAAGCCAGCCACGCCATCAGATTGTCTGGATCGAACAGACAAACGCTTCCTGTTTACAGTTTATACGTATATTACTAGATTAGAGCGTCCCTATTAAAATCATGACACATTTTGCAATCATTTGCGTATTCGCTACCGTAATAGATGTGAATTAGAAACTCTGCAGCGATCAAAAGACTTTTGGTACATTTATCACACGGGATGTTATGCATAGGTTGTAATCGTAAGGTCTCGGTTAGTGTTTTGTGTCCTCTAAAATAAATTTGCCCGTAATATTTCTGTTTTTTTTTGCTCTACAGTAAAAGGAACTATCTGAATGTGCATGTACAGAAGAAGAATCGGAATGTGCTTAGGCTTAAAGGCTAAAGCGCTTACGCTTCTATAAGCGAACTGTAATACCATAGCTCATATGAGAAAATGTCGTCAAGGAACGGGACGAGTCACGGCTCCCTAACCGGAAGAATAACGCTCTTACACGGATGGAAAGTAACTGGTTTAAGGACGGGGTAATAGACACCAGCATGATGACTGATCCAAGAGGACGTTACGGACTGAACCAAAGACAGATTTTACAGAAATTATACATATCGGTAAGTTATACTCGTACTATAGTATCATAGATAACAAACTTGAGAAATAAAACCCCTGACTGCATACGCTCAATACCTTAAGTTCGTATCAATAATAATCATTAGCGACCCCCCAGTGCCGCGTCGCAGATATGAGCGTAAAGAACTACAACGCCAGAACACAAGGCCTCTCAAGTAAATGGCCACACATGACTTACCTACAATCAACAATAGAAATAGAGTCAGTTTTTATGGATGTACCTAAGCTAACCTAACTATCTGCAAAATTTAATCTCTTGCAATAATCGAAAATACTGGACGACAAGGTTAACTTCATTAAACATTATTGTGTGAGATCATGAAGAGCGAAACAACCAGAAAGAGACCCCCACTGAGGAAATCGCAGTCAATATACCTGGGAGACGAACTTACAACAAACAAGGCTATCGAAGAAACTTTGGATCCCGGCCGTGGCCGAGTTTAGTCGGTGCAAAGCAATAACGACGAGGGAGGTTATCAGGAACGAAAAAAGTCCTGGAGAGGCCTACTTGGCGAGGTAGAACAACATCTATGGGAACGCCCCTAGAAAATTGTAAGGGGCAAAGTGAAAGGCAAACGCAGAAAACCTGTGCAAAAAAAAGAGACGAAATTCGAGAAAAAATTTTCGATTTACTCTGAATTCAACGAATCAAAGTGTAAGTCACTTGAGCACCAAGAGGATATACCGGAATTTGTAACATATTAGGTTAGGAAAGGTGGAGAAGGGATTAGGCCATGTTGCGCATTAGGGTAGGATAGCATCCCGCTGGCCACAACGAAAGTATGGAGTCCTCGAATGTAGTTACCAGAATTTTCTTGAAGGACCGCACGAAGAAAGAGAATTTTCTCTAATATATGGAAACAGAACAAATAGTACTAATTCTAAACGGAAATGAAGCTTGGAGGCCTATTCATCTTCTAGGCATTCTCTTAGATCTTAGATCAGCGACTTTGCAGTAAGAATACGAACTGTTATCGGACGCTTAATGCAGACTTGGAAACTACTTAATACTTAAGGGTATTCATCGGCTGATATTAGAGGCGCAGAAGGAAAGGGGGGGGGGAGGGGTAGGTCTACAATCATGAAAAGTAACCTGATTCTAGAGGTCCTTCTTTACCTCATAGACACCTTCAACAGTCTTCTATGAAATATCGCCTTACACAGATTGAAAGACGATAATGCTTCCCCATATTTGACGTTCCTGGTGTTAAACTACCCTAAAAACAAGAAGTGCCGCTGTGATGACACAGCCTTTCAAAAGACAATTGGTATTCCCACAGGTCCATCTTTGAGGCACTGCCCTTCAACTTTGTTTATGGAGAACTCTTGAGACTCATAGACTTTCCGGTTGGCTCTGAGTTTATAGCACACGTGGGTTATCACTGGCTTTACTGCAGACAAAAGCGAACGACGTTTAAGATGAAATATTTCATTGGGTGGACGAGAACGATTTGATATTACCGCCTGTAAGAAAAACTATAATACGACTCATTCGGCACGAGGAATACGAAATATAATCAAACACGGTGGCAATCGAGACAGACAAAATATCTAAATGCAACGGCATTTATTGGGACCGGTCCATGTACGGAACTTGTTGAAGATTGGTGCTAGCAAAGCGACAAAAGGCGCCGCTGAGCTAATCAAACAAACATATAATATCTACGGCCCCAGGGAAGGAAGACGCGGGTTGTTGACTGATACTTTTTGGAGGACTCGCGTGTGCATTCAAGGCAACCTCAAAGAAGCACAAGCACAATACCCTCTGGCAGACCTAAAAAGTCCTTGCACTTAAAGTAACACAGGCGGGACTAGTACCATCTCTTGGGATTTCAGAATAGAAGAAAGGAAGCGGTGTTAGTCCTCATCTATTTCCATACCCGGAAAGCTCAGCCCAAGTGACCTAGACCGCTTGAACTTACTGGCGTCTGCCACTTTTCCTGTTAGATCGTATTATTTAATACAGATTCCGTGCCGAGAGAGAGTGGAGTTTAAAAACTCTCGATGCACTAGTCGGTAGTTCTCGAGAGAGAACCGAATTCATCCATCGACATGGTACCTTTCTGGGTCGCAACGAATTATTCTAGCCCGGTGGTGTACATCGAGCATTCCTAAGAAAATATCAAATTGGTCCTTGTTTACCTTTATACACAACTCCAAAAAGCTCTTTCTCGCCTTCACAAATTGTAATTTCAGTGCTTCTGTGTATGGTAAGTCGCTTTAACTCGAGTTCAGGCCCTTTTCTAGAGAAAATAGTATATTTTCTACCGCAACCTACTGCGCCTTCTGCCAAAACCAAAAAGCTATGGAAGGAGTCGATGATTTTTGTGTCGTTTACGGTGATTCTACAACTGGAGGGAGCACTCAAAGATAAGTTCGTAAGTTTATCTTGGCAATAAAAGATGCGCTTCACTTCAACCGGCCATCCGAGATGTATGAGGATCCTGAACAGCAACCAACTCGTCAATTCGCCAAGAAAATGACCTGTGTTCATACGACTACTATTAGCCACTTCAACTTGATGAGATTTATTCAAAAATTAGAAGGCAGTGGAAGGCAGAAAGAAGCACGGCTTCACGTGTCCTTTCAATTGGGCGATGGACGGTGGCTAACACAAACATAATGACAAAATTCTTCTCTACAGGTGGCGAGGGGTGGTGTCTCTGTGCCAACATAAGTCGGAAAAAAAAGATCGCTTCAGAAAATGTGCCTAAACCTAGAATTAAATCAGAGATATACAAGAAGAACTATGACTTGCGTTTGGCCTAGTCTAAATGAGATAACGTTTTCCGTGTTCTGACTTTCGACATTCGACTAGATGAAAGGTTCGGGTAAGCGAGCGCCATATAGAGGCGTGAAGGGCATTTTTGTCTGAACCGAGAAGCAAAGCACAGATTAAAGGAAGCTAGCAAAAACGAGAGGAGGAGGAAGGGGAGGGGGAGGACGAACGGAAAGTGTCGTAATCCCAACCAGCTATAACCAAGAACGTCAACGACGCCGATGCAACGATAATAATGACAACGAAAGTTGATTTAGTACCTACTGCCGCTGCTACACTTGCAAATGTAGTAAGTTCGCAGCGGTTCCGATGATAAGAAAGGTGAGTCTACCCGTGCTTCAGAGACGAACCCACTGAAACGTCGTTGGGCCAAGGAAAAACGAACGAATCCAGTGCTGAAAACAGGCGAACAGAACAGGTCTGTATAAAGAAAAAACCGATCTTGCTAAGCTTGCGGCGGTGCAAGCGGCCCAGTTAAGCTAAAAAGGGTAAAAAAACTGGTAGCGCCTGGCGAGCGCTACCATCAGCCACGCAGACTGGCACTATCCAGTGCTCGCAAGGAAATGAAGAGCTGGCGTCCAGTCATTGCATTGCTGGTTAGTCCTAACGGTTTCCTGTCGAACAATAATGATTTTGATGACATCCGCTACACAACGTGAGCAGTAGGGCAGATCTGAACGAGGTGTCTGGAACAGCACAATAAAGGGATTCGCTAAAAATTCGCTGAAAAACTGTACCGCAAATATAAGCTTGTTTTTTTATACCGTCCCAATAATACAGAGCAAAGTTAATGGCTGCTACCGCCTCTTTATTAGAGCGTCACACAAAATACGGACAACTACGCTTTCAAGAAAAATAGGCCGACGTTTCTCAAAAGCGAGATTTAGGAACTATTGCATTGGCGAGCCTCAGGACAAACGAAACATATAATTTCACTATGCATTGAAGGATATACGGCATCCATTCACTCGACGACCAAATTATTATTTTCGCTTGGGCAGGTTAATTGCTGTGCAATTTTAACAACTGGTTACAAACAATGGAAGTTACCGAAAAGGCCACTTTCTAAGTTTAAGTTTTTGTGAAGATTGTGTATAAGCACTAATGTATGTGTTTTTGGCGTAGCCCCTATCGTCGTGTCTGTACGATCATGTGAATAGGAATATGTTACTAACAACAGTGTTTAGTTATAACAAAAGGTGCACTGATAATACGTTTACCAGTTAAGCGAATGTATATGTAAGACGGTTCAGACTTGAATAGACGTACGTTCCAAGCTTCTATTGTAAATCCGTCCTTTTATCGTTTATTAGGAAAAAAAAAGCAAGTAGAGTAATCGCTACTCCCGCTCGGTCCCTCCAATTGTATTGTCTTTCTTCTGACGGGTTTTTAAAACAATGCTAGACAGCGGTACCAGGGTCTATCAAGGGAAGAAGACAGACGATCGTCAGATGTGCAGGGTTTTACATGACTATTCGTAGCAATTATGATATATTCAGAACCACATAAATAGACTAGGGTCACGCTATAGTCTCGAAACTCGTACTAGGCAATGCGAGCTAATTTTATGGTTGCGTAAAAGATGAACAAGCGTATGACAGTGGTCGTAATAAGGCTACGACGGACATCATTGATTATTTCTACTGCTCGCAAACTTGCGTCAAAATTCACATGGTGATACGACGCCATGCGAAGGCAATTTATTAGTAGAATTCAAGCTGAAGTAGCCAGACTTTTACCGTCTGAATAAGTTAGGTTGAAAGTGAGCTATAAGGAAGCCTCCTTTTCGTGCCTTTGGCTCTTCGCAATGTATGAACAAGTTCTCGAGGCCACCTCCTCGGTATAACAAGGATGCGCATCAGGAACCGCCACTCAAAAGATTAGCTGGGGTAGGTCTTGTTGAACTCATCTAACCGTTTGCCAATGCTGCAATTGGAATTAGCGGTGGACACGTGTTCGTACGTTAGCATATGAACGCAACTATCCACCAACACAATATGGCGACTGGTGCGACGTTTAGGAAGCACGAATTATCAGGGGGTGTTTCACCAACCAAATCGAATGCTCACTAGTCATATTAACCAAAATGATTTTATAGCGGTTTAGAGGTAAACTAGAACCGGAATACTGTCCCTTGTCATCTATACGAACGGTATCCAAAAATATATCTCTCACTACAACAGATAATTAGGAACTCAACAAATTGCTTTGAATCCTTGTATTATCTAAACGGCTTATATATCATCAATTAAGGGAACTGTCGTGTAGTTGATTGATCCACTTTTCAGCAGTGGCTATTAACGTCATGCCTGTTAACCAGTTCTCGCCCGCTTTGGTTGGTGTACCCAAGAAAGGGCGCGGGAAGATCGTATCCACCTTCACAGACAGATGTTATCAGAGGGTGCTTTCAGTAGGGTACTGCTTTCCGACTGAAGGCTAGTATTCGGATCAGTGAACGGTGACCGTTCTCCTCTGTGAACAGAACACGTGCGTAGCTTTTTATCTTCTTCTCGGGTCAGCCATTTAAAGAGGGAGAGAGCGCTTACCAAAGGATACGCTATTACCAACGTCATTCTAGGACTGGTCGACGCGAGAGATTTCGATTTAGCCTTGAATAACTTAAGCATAGACGATAAAAAGGTAAAAAGGAGCTGCTATAACTCGCACTCTTGCCTTTGACGTCGCCGAATTTTATAAACTGCCAAATACGGTAACCTGATGATTATTTCCATATATATA